TGCCGGCCAGGCCCGTAATCTGTCTTGGTCCCTTGTACCGCCCCCCATGGGTGCTGCCAGGTCCAGTGTGTGTCATGGGTCCCTGTACGGCCTCCCATTGCTGCTTGCCAGGCCCCGTAATCTGCCATGGGCCCCGTACCAACTCCTCATGCTGCTGCCAGGACCGTAATCTGTCATGGGCCCCCGGTACCGCCTCCTCATGCTGCTGCCAGGTCAGAGTGTGTCATGGGTCCCTGTACGGCCTCCCATTGCTGCTGTCTCCATCGCCACACTCTGCCATGTGCCACTTTCAAGGTCTCCTCACACTGCTGGTGGTTTCCATTTTTGTCATAGGGTGCTGTATGGCCTCCCATTGCTCGCCATCCCATCCACCGCCACATCTGTGGTCTCACACTCTGGTTTGGCCCCGTGGACTGCCCAAATGAGTGAAGTGGTGCGGTGATTCTAAGATACGACGGGCACTCTATCTGCATGTCATACTGACTGTCAGTATTATTTCTCTTCCCAGCAGACCTCCAAAGGGCATTTAAATTAAAGGTTACAGTGTTCTGCACTAATCATAAAGGCTCTCTGAAGCCTAGAAACACCCTTTTATAAGTTAAATTCGCAGCGAATATATTCGACTCGATCGAAATTTTTCCACGAATTCGCACGAATCAGTCGAAATCGAATTTTTGGAATACTTCGCTCATCTCTTACTGACGTCTGTGGAGAGGTTTGAGTCTCACGAGCGCTGTAGTGAGTGTGCGCTGGGAGCAGGAGACTGTTATACCATTTGCTGTTTTTATGCTGTTATACTGGTGTCGGTGAAGACACCCTTTTTGTCGTAGTGAGTGTAAATCTTTATTAATTGTTGCATACTTTTATAAAAAAAACTGACTGCACCATGATTTTTTCTTTCATTCGGAAAAATGACCTAGGTGGAGAGATATAAAAAGAGAGAGTGATATAATGCTCCTGGAACGGTTATATTGAGTGGTGGATACCTACCTTATGGATGATTGTGTAGCTATTGATCATCACACCTGAGAAGTTGATCAAAATTGGACAATTTTTATATTCACAAATTTAATTATTTAAATTACTTATGCACTAAAAAAATAGTTTTGCACATAATTTTGATATTTTTTGATATTAATTGAGAATAGATATATATATCTTTTGCACTAATGTTTCTACACTAAATTAGGAATAGTTTGTGGTTTTTAGCGCATTCTTTATTTAAGTTAACGATGTAACTATGTATTGTATTTGTACTGTCTCCCTTATATTGTAAAGTGCTGCACAATCTGTTGGCGCTATATAAATCCTGTATAATAATAATAATGATGCTGATGAGAGAGGAGGTAACATGACCAAAGAAAATTAAAAGCATCACTGGGGGTATATGAGACCCTGCTTAATAAATGATTTGGGGGGTCAGCTCTTTTCAGAGTGGTCAAATACTGATTTCTTTAAACAACCTTAGGTGTGTCCATAAGCTTGACACACTCAGGACTTTCCTTCCCTTGCACTGATATCCTCCAGCTGCCAATCCAGTAAGACATAATACCAAGTAATAGAGAAAATTCTACCAGTTGGTCATATAGTCATAAAGGCATGCAACGAGTACTTGTCACTTTTTTTTTACAATATCACAATAAAAATAGTGATAATTATACAATACGTATTACAGAAACATTGAGTTAAGTAAATGTTTGTTCATGTACAAAAATTAGTGTCTATCTTTCTTGGAAAATCCAATGAAACATTTTCTTTGGCAGACTATGCAAAACCAAATGTATGCTCATTTGCAGCAATGCTTGACTGATAGTGAAGATTTGTTCTGATCAAGAAAGACACAGATCCCTCACTGAACTGCAATAATTATGACACATTAGTCTCATTTTGCCTAGCTATGCTTAATGAAGCAGTTTTAATGGCCACTGCCTATCTGCAGACACCTTTACTTTTCTGTGCTCTATCTATCTCAATTTCTAGTTGATACCTTTGTCCTGTAAAGCATTTACAACTGAAAGCATATGAAATTGTGTGCATATCTTTGCTATGATACATGCCTACGCCATGATAAAGAATGCCATGTGCACTTTTTTACTTACAGTTGTGACCAAAATTATTCAACCCCCACTGAAATTGAGTGTTTTGGCCAGTTTGACATTGCTTTTGATCATTCAGTCATCTTGCTTACATTTACATTAAAGAGGCACTTGTAGGTCAGACAAATATAACATAACAGTTATAATGAAATAACCACAAATGTCTTTTCTGTGCTCACAGCATTATCAGTTTTATTCAACCCCCAAGTGACATTCAATCTTAGTACTTTAGTACAGCATCCTTTTACAGTTATAACAGCTTTTAAACGTGAAGCATAGCTTGACACAAGTGTCTTGCAGCGATCTACGGGTATCTTCGCCCATTCTTAATGGGCAAAGGCCTCCAGTTCAGTCACATTCTTAGGCTTGCGCACTGCAACTGCTTTCTTTAAGTCCCACCAGAGGTTCTCAATCGGATTTAAGTCTGGTGACTGCGATGGCCACTCCAAAATGTTCCAGCCTTTCCTCTGCAACCATGCTCTAGTGGACTTGGAGGTATGCTTGGGATCATTGTCCTGTTGAAAGGTCCAACGTCTCCCAAGCCTCAGGTGTGTGACGGACTGCATCACGTTTCCATCCAATATCTCCTGGTACTGAAGAGAATTCATGGTACCTTGCACACGCTGAAGCTTCCCTGTACCTGCAGAAGCAAAACAGCCCCAAAGCATGATTGACCCTCCACCATGCTTCACAGTAGGCAAGGTGTTCTTTTCATCATAGGCCTTGTTCTTCCTCCTCCAAACATAGCGTTGATCCATGGGCCCAAACAGTTCTAATTTTGTTTCATCAGTCCACAGAACACTATCCCACAACTTTTGTGGTTTGTCCACATGGCTTTTGGCATACTGCAGTCGACTCTTCTTATTCTTTGGAGACAGCAAGGGGGTACGCCTGGGAGTTCTGGCACGGAGGCCTTCATTACGCAGTGTGCGTCTTATTGTCTGGGCTGAAACTTCTGTACCCACATCTGACAAATCTTTTCTCAGTTCCTCAGCAGTCACACGGGGACTTCTCTCCACTCTACGCTTCAGGTAGCGCACAGCAGTCGAAGTCAGCATCTTCTTTCTGCCACGACCAGGTAGCGTTTCAACAGTGCCCTTTGCCTTGAATTTGCGAATGATGCTTCCTAAGGTGTCTCTTGGTATGTTTAACATCTTTGCAATCTTCTTATAGCCATTGCCCTTCCTGTGAAGAGAAATCACCTCTTCTCTTGTCTTCCTGGACCATTCTCTTGCCTTCACCATGTTTGTAACCACACCAGTAAATGTCTAGAAGGAGCTGAGTATCACAGTCATTTTAAAGCTGCCTAATTGGTGCTTATTATGCTTGATTGCTGCTCGGTGACATCCACAGGTGTTTTCAATACCTGATGGAAAGCACCTGTATGAACCTCTGTTCTTCAGAGTGGTAGTCTTTAAGGGGTTGAATAATTGTGGCAATGAAGAAACCACATAAGAACCATTTACTACTGTATTACATAAACAATTGATGTCATTTTAGTTGCATTTGGGTAGTTACAACGTCCTTGTAGGATTTGATTCTGAATACAATTCCAAATGTACACTATAGTCCCTAAACCCCTTTACAGCATTGGGGGTTGAATAATTTTGGTCACAACTGTATAGTGATTTTTACAGTCACTTACTGATAGTGTGCACTGTATCATCAGAAAGGCAGGCAAAATGGCTAACTGAGACTGCAACAAACAGTCGATTCTATATTCCTTTGAGGTGTGCCACCAATTAACTGACATATGTTTGGATTCTGAAGCATGTGCTGCTCAGGAAACCACTAGCCATATGTTTACTGTCACTGGTGTTCGATTACTGTACAAATGTGATTGTGTCATTCAGCATACCTTTTAGGCACATCGATGTGATGTTGCATAGTTGGCCTTACCCTGTGGGAATTTCAACCAGTTCCTGATGAACCTACTTAAATTAACTTAGTGGGTGGCGCTGTCAGCCCTCTGCCACCCAACAGCCTTCAACTGAAAAATCGAAGGAGCCCGGCAGAAATCAATGCATACAGTTGTGCTCAAAAGTTTGCATACCCTGGCAGAAATTCTGAAATTTTGGCATCGATATTGGAAATATGACTGATCATGCCAAAAAATGCTCTTTTATTGAAGGATGATGATCATATGAAGCCATTTATTATCAAATAGTTGTTTGGCTCCTTTTTAAATCATAATAACAGAAATCACCCAAATGGCCATAATCAAAAGTTTACATGCCCAGGAATGTTTGGCCTCGGTACAGACACACAAGGTGACACACACAGGTTATAATGCCAATTAGAGGTTAATGTCCCATATCTGTGGCTTTTTAAATTGCAATTAGTGTCAGTGTATAAATAGTCAATGAGTTTGTTAGCTCTTACGTGGAAGCACTGACTAGGCTAGATACTGAGCCATGGGGATCAGAAAAGAACTGTCCAAAATCCTGCATAACAAAGTAATGGAACTTTATAAAGATGGAAAAGGACATAAAAGATGTCCAAAGCCTTGAATATGTCAGTCATCACTTCTACTAGAAGTAGAAAATTCAGGGGACCTCTTGATACCAAGCCAAGTACAGGTAGACCAAGAAAGATTGCAGCCAAAACTGCCAGAAGAATTGTTCGGGATACAAAGGGAAACCCATAGGTAACCACAAGAAAAATACAGGCTGCTCTGGAAAAAGACAGTGTGGTTGTTTGGAAGGAGCACACTAAGATGACACTTGAACAAAAATGAGCTGCATGGTCGAGGTGCCAGAAAGAAGCCTTTACTGCATCAATGACATAAAAAGGTCTGGTTAGGCATGTCAAGGTGTTGTCAGGCACATTGTAATTGGGCTTTTTTGTGGCATTGGTGCAGTAAAAGTTTCATTCTGGCACCTCAACCAAGCAGCCAATTTTTGTTCAAGTATCACCGTATTGTACTCCTTAAAAACAACCACACCACCTTTTTCCAGAGCAGCCTGTATTTCTGTTGAGGTTGCCTGTGGATTTTTCTTTGAATCCCGGACAATTCTTCTGTCAGTTATGGCTGCAATCTTTCTTGGTCTATCTGACCTTGACTTGGTATCAAGAGATCCCCAAATTTTCCACTTTTTAGTAGGTGATTTAACAGTACTGATTGGTATATTCAAGGCTTTGGACATCTTTTTATGTCCTTTTCCATCTTTAGAAAGTTCCATTACCTTGTTACGCAGGACTTTTGACAGTTCTTTTCAGATCCCCATGGCTCAGTATCTAGCCTAGTCAGTGCTTCCACGTAAGAGCTAACAAACTCACTGACTATTTATACACTGACACTAATTACAATTTAAAAAGCCACAGATGTGGGACATTAACCTCTAATTGGC